TGTTTTTCATTTAAGAAGTATAGAAGTAGGGCACTCCCTCCATTCTTCTCTCTGCTTTAAGAGCTGAATTTATCAGGTAAGTGTATAATAAATACCTAAACAAAATAGATGGGACAACAATCAAACTTGTCCTTGCTTAAGTATGCTGTCTCCCAGTAGAACACATTATAAAATGTAAGACCTCTTAAAGCATTAGTGATCTGTAAAAGGATTTATTGAAAGAGTCTGTTCTGCCTCTTTGCTCTCTGAGTATTTTTCACTTTATTTCTTTTACTTATTTGTAATTGGTCTGCAGTTTTTGCCTTGGTTGCAGGCAAAGAAAAGCAGAAAATGTATGTAGCAGATGTTAATTACATTGTTTGTGGCATTATTGAAAATAGCGTTGATATGGTAACAGGGTTGACGGTATGAGGACTGAAATCTTTCCTTTCGTATCTGATGACTTTTGCCTGTTTTAACAAAAAACTATCTGGTGAAGTAATCTATGATTTCTTTTAGCTTCTAGAACATAATGTGGAAGACTAGCATTTCAAGTGAAAAAATTTAAGTGTGATAGACCAGGAGTGCGTGTTACTCAATGATAAGTTTTGATATTTGCATAATAAATTATGAAGAGTACCTGAAAATTGCTGTGTTTTGGAGTGTTATATCTTGGGGTGGAAAGGGTTCTTCCCTTGTAACTGAGCACTACGTGAACAAGTCATATGCTGCCATATCCTGTTAATGACTAGAATTAATGCACATGTGTACTGACTTGGTTAGGTCAGAATAGTTCACAAACTTTAAAAAATACACAAGTCTAATGATTGGAAGCATTGTTAAGGTAAATACCCTTAAGAACTTTGTTTGTTCCCAGGGTTCACTTTGGTATGAATGGTTCCATGTGCATCAATCACGATGGAAGCAAAGACAGAAATGGAGTACTACCAGTTTTGAAGATACAGCTTACGGAAGATACAGTCTGGTTTTTTGAGGCAACAGTAGAGTATAGGTAAAGTAAAATGAATGAAATTAAAGAAAGTAATAATAACCCACAGCTTGATTTATTTTTCTAACAATGTGATTTTTCACTATGTTATTAACGGAATTTTTTGAAGTGCTTGGTTTGCCATTGTAGAAACAAAGAAATGTAATAAAGCTTCTTAAATATATCATGTTTTATGGGTATGGAAGTGTAATATCTGTTTTTTTTTTATCAGAATTTATATACAGGTAAAGTAGTTTTATGCAATAATTCTTTAAATAGTGTCAAGACCAGGAATTCAATTTGCATTGAATTCCGTCTTCTGATTTGACCGCTGAACCCCATTACTCCTTTAATTTGTATTCAAGTCTCAATTCTTAACAAGAACAAGAATGTAAGGGTCTTCATATATGACAACTATTGGTTTTAAATTTTTATGCCCCAAAGGTTGTGTTTTCACTTTTTCTTTTTGAAAGCAAATTGGTGTAACTGTTCTAATTAACATTAACTTGATGTATTCATCCATCAGCACTGTACTTCTCATTGCTAATAAAATGAATAAGAAGCTTGATTTAAAAACACTTGAGGCTCTTGGATGAAAGGGATTTTGTAAATTCACATATGTTACTTGAATTCATGTTATGAAACATAACAACCTAGGCAAGTCTGAGACTTCTTGCACTGAATTATTTTGAATCTTTGTTCTTCAACTTACAATTAAGCTTAACCTAATAAAAGGTTTAATAGAATCTATCTTTTATTGTCATGTTGAAACTACTGGACCATGTACCCTTATTTTAGTTATGGGTGATGGTCCAAAAATATAGTATTTCCACGTTGAGAGTAGTTTTAAGGCAAGAACCTGGCAATTATTTTTCAAGCTAATATGAACAAAAAGAGCATGACTTCTGCTGTGTTGGTCCAGATGCTAGCATGTTCCGTGCATGTATCATTGAGCTGTTTCATTTTTTTTCAAAAATTTTTATGCCTCTGCCTGTCACTGGTATTTTTTTGGTTTGTTTTATCTGCATATAATATACCATCATATCTTCAAATGCTGTTTTTACAACCATATTGGTAAATTAGCATATAATTAAAATTTAAAAAAACCTCTGTCTTACTGCGTCTTCTCTTCCAGAAATGCAGCTGAAAGTGAGCAGAAAGTGAGAATGATGGAAAGCTTGGATGTCTGCTCTCCAAAATTTAGCTGCTTAAGAGCAGAAAGTGAGATTAAGGAGCAGAAAACTCGCATGTTGTGTGATGTGTTACTGGATCAAGCAGTGTTACCTGGAGTGGGAAATATCATAAAAAATGAAGCACTATTTGACAGTGGCCTCCATCCAGCTGTTAAAGTGGGTGAAATGTCTCAAGATTGTTTTTAATGACAAAAAAAGTATTAGGAATGTAAATCTTTATTTATATAATGTTTTGTCATCTTTTCTTTTAAACCTTTCTTTGTTTTATCTTTTTTTTTTAAAGTTCTAAGACCTTAAAGTCATATTTTAGCATTATAATCTGGGATATTTGTCATAGCAGTCCTTAGGACCTCTTTCTGTTACTCTTGTCTCCCAGACTGGACATATTTGTAGGGGCTATTTTCATAGCTTCCATTTACTGTGCTGCTAGCTAGGATCGTTTGCTTTTTTGCATTGTTTATCATACTTTTTTGGTTTGGATCCTCAAGCATGTATCTAGAAACTTCTGTGGAGAATTGAAGTCTGCAAACAAGTCTGAAATTATATAGATTGTAAACCAAAGCTGATGAAAACAGTACCTGGAAGTCCAGAACATGTTTGTGTGTTTTTCTTTTGCGTTATTCTGTGGCTTTTGTTTTTGGGTTTTTTTGGTAACATAATGTGTATGAAAGATTTCATAGCATCAGTTTGGATTTGAAACTTTCTAGAGCTGTATGATGATATCTGTTCTAAAGTGAATGGATATTCATTACAGTTTGGGGAAAGCTGTCTTTGCATTTCCAGCAGCTTATAATTTCTGAGACTGAAGTACTGCAGTGGAGAAGAGCCTTGAGTCCTGTTTTCTCTGGGGAATGTTACTGCAAAAATCCCACTATTTGGTTTATTTGAACGAAAGTTAAAATCAACAGGAACTATAGCCTTCCTGCGTATCCAACAGCCAAAGCTGGATGAATAGGTTAGGAATCGTGTGCATTCTCACTCATGCTCTTTCTCACGTGTGCTCTCTCTCTCTCTTTCTCAATACTATTTAAAAAAAAAACCATATATATGTATATTCACACACACAGACACACACACCCCCCCCTCCATCGCCTGGTTTCTGTGGACTTTGAATGCTGATTCTGCTGAAGCTAGGGACAAATCCCTTCAATATGCATCTCAAGAATTAAAAAAAAAAAAAGGGAGGGGGGGGGAAAAAGTTGGAGAGAACATCCTGGAGCTTTATTCTAATGTCCTTCTCAAAGCAGGTCTAACTTTCAAGTTAAATCAGATTGCCTGGGATCTTATGCAGTGGAGTTTCCACAACCTTCACGGACTGAGATTCCACAGCCCTTCTTGGCAATCCACTTCAGTGCTTAAGCCATCCCTAGATATTAATCAAAATGCACTGGGGTGCGTCCACAATGTGAGCTGGCAAAGGAACGAAAAATGACTCAGAATTTTGGTGTTCTTAACAAAAATGTGTCTTCTTGATACATCTCTAACTGTGGTGCCTATGGCTCAAGTATTCTTCTTGAAGATCTCTCATGGGAAAGAGCCTATCTGACAACAGTTAAGTTATGTCATAAAATCCACTAGGAAACCAAGAGGGAACTAAGAGTTGTTAACTCCATGAAGTTAAAACTGACGTTAGTGTCCTATGATCAGGAACTCTTAGGTTGATGTAGAGGAAGACCACTGACACTTTTTATATAGGGCAAAGTACACTGCTATTCACACAGTGAGTTTGTGTAGAGTTGTATGTGCAAATGAACTATTTTAAAGAGATATTACACAAAATGTAGTCAGAGAATTTATCATAAGAGGAAGCAATGTAATTCCGTATTGACTGAAGACAGCTGGAGGGCCAGTATATTACAGGTTTTTTTTACTGTTGTTGCTTAGTGTACTAATAGTGTAAAAACTATGCTCGTCTTATTCACAGGTTTGCGAACTGACAGATAAGCATATATGTCACTTGGTGAAAATGACACGTGACTTTGCCCTCCTTTTTTATAAGGTAAGGCTTCATGTTTCTGAGAAAACTCCAAAACTCGGCTCCAGCATGTTTTTATTTGTATGTAACAATCTAGTAGAAATAGTAAAAAGATGCAACAAGGCAAATGTTTCAATGCATAAGAATCTTGGTTTGGGTGCTATTAACTGTGAATCCTCTAATGAGGGAGAGGTGGTGGAGCCTAGCTTCCGACCCTTGGCACGGTTGCAGCAGATGAGTTTGACAGCATGTTGCCTGGCAAGTTGAGTTCAGTTCTGCTGTGCGCATGCTGTAAAGTTGCTCTGAGCATGTCAGAATTGATGTACATTGAATGCATGTTTACAGGTAAGATAACTACACCCTAAAGGTCATCCTTCAATAGGAAACTAAGAATTGCCTTGGGGAAGTATGAAGGTAATTGAATTCATGTGGTTTCATTTATGAAACTTTGAAATAGTATATTTTTTGACTGAATAGATGGTAACTTCTAACAATTGGCTTCTAACTTCTAACAGAGTTAATTTTGTATAGTTAACCACAGGGGGTGTGCCCAGATATAGAAGATGAGCTTAAAACTAGTTTTAGAAAGTAGTTCCCAGGCATGCGGAAAGGGTCCTGGTGAGATGTTTGGCTGCCAAATGCAGCCGCTGAGTAGGGTTTGGAGATTCCTGTCAAGATATTAATCATGGGGGAAAAGCCTTCTAACAAACCTTTCTTCATCTTTCTTATAATGAGCTGAACCTTGATACATCTGAAAACCCTTTTTTGGTTGCTAGAGGGGAGACTCTTAAAATGCTTAAACTCCTGCTTCTCCCCCAGCGTACTGAAGAGCAGTGTTTGGTCTCCCCTGGCTGGGGAAATCTCTCTCTTCATACTGCTGAAACCTACCAGTAAAGAGAGAGCACCCAGTTCTGCAACAGCTATAATACTAGGAGATTTAGATGTGCCACAGGCTTTTAGAGTGACAATAAACAAATAGGTAAATGGAGCTACAGAAGTTTAAACTATTTTCAAAATTTTTATAATCTATACTTACACAGTATTTGCTATTCAAGTCTTTTTAAAGGATGAGCTAAGCTTCCAAAGTCTCTTTCAGGTAATATAATGAAAACAGATTAGTAAGAGTCATAGTACATGATCACTGTTTATAGAATGTTCTTATACTGTAATTATTATTCCAGTAATGATACTGTGTTGTTATTTCAAGTAACACCTTACAGATCCAAAGATGTGCAGTCTTATTGATGTAAATACCTGTTGTTTTTGTTTGGCTTTTAAATTACTGAGTGGTAGGAAATTCTACGAATAAGAAATTAACTCTAACCTTAAGGAGAAATCTGTGGGGGGAAAAAAAACCAAGCTGCTTGTCAATATTCAAGCAAATATATAATAGCAATTCTTTCTGGTTGAATTATTGGAGAGCAAATTGTACTCTCGAAAGCAGAAACAGCTGTTATTCAGTGAGGCTAATTAGTATGGGTGCAGCAGAAGCAAATATGCTGAGCCCAAAGCCACCCATATTCTCAGAAAACTCCACAAATCCTCATGCATTGTGGAGCTAGAGCCTGTCAGAGCTGGGTTGGTTTTGCTAGGCCAGCTCTGATATTATTTAAACTGTGCTCGTGGAACTGTGACTATGGTGCTGATGCTCATGGAGCTCTCCAAGGTTGGCTCTGGCTCTCCTACTTTCTTTTGTTTTTTCCACTAATTTTAGCAGGGGTATGTCTATGCTTACTCCATGCAAATTCTCTCATGAAATGTGCCTGCTTGTCAGCGAATTAGGTCGCTGTGTACTAGGCTAGTACGTGCTTAATTTAACGTGACTTTCTGTCACAATCTGGGAAGCTTGCTGTGGCTCTTTATGGGCCAGCTTGCATGCAGCACGGCCTGTGCTGAGGTGAAGCTGAGAACTTCACTGGCCTCAGGCTGACTCATAAGTTTTCTGGACTATCTCTGTGTTGTGCCATTCTCCAGGTTTTGGGAAGTTTGATTAACTCAGATTGTACTATTAGGCCTGAGCAGGCTCTGGGTTTTTTGGGTTTTTTTGTATTGGTGCTTGTGAACTCTTCAGGCACTCTCCTGCAGGGGCCAGGTCTAAGATGACCGGTGCTGAATCAGTTAGGTGGTCCAGCCGGACTCAGGCTGGATCCCTGGCATATGTTTGCCTGTACCGTGCAAATATGGTTTTTGTTTTTTGTTCTGTTCTTTACTCTATTATCTGGAGAAACCCAGGCCCTGTTATCCCAGATTTAGAGACTCTTCTTATATAAGTCTGAAGTACAGACAACAGCATTTATTAACATCCCTTAAATATCTTTGTTTAGTAATTAGCTGTCAGTTTACATCCGTATAGGTTTTTTTGTTTCCCCCCCCCCCCCCCACTTTTTTAATGTTGTTTTCAGTTGAAATGAAATTTATATTGGGTCTTTAACTTGTGTTCTAAGTATGTTCTGCTTTAGTGCCGCAAAACAGGGTCTCCACTCTACAAACACTACAAAGTATACAGGCGCCCTACCTGTGGTAAGTGCAATGGGAAGATCACTATATGTCGTTTAGGAGAGAACAACAGGATGACCTACTTCTGCTGTCGATGTCAAAAGGCTGATCCACAGCTTGTCAACATTAGGTATGACTGTGATTCTATAACACTTTTGAGCACAGCTGTCATCTGAAAAGTGCTGTAACAATAAGAGGACAGTAAATATAAAATGCATAAGGATTCATTCTGTTTGAGAACTGAAGTCTCTTGACTTTACAAAAGCAAATATTTTGGCCATTGGTGTTTAAAAATGTTTAAAAACTGTGGTTTCTTGATACCAATATATTGAAATAGCTAGTACTCTAACCACATGTGGGAATCATTGTGAGAACAACTCATAATATTATGCACTGCTTCTGGAAAAATTGCCCCATGTTCTTGGTATTATCAATATAATAGGCTTGGATGTTTACATACCACTGAGTTGAATGGCGTAAGGAAGGAAGGAAGAAATGTGTGCTTCTTTCTATTCCTTTTCATAGAAAGCTCCCTCCAGTCAAACAGGAACAGCTATACAGCTTTGCATCTGTACTATTTTTTTTTTTCTGGCTGTAAAGTTACAAGGGAAAACTAAAATTTCAGCAAATTCAGAATACAGAAAATCTTGTAGAGCTTCTGAAGTCATAGATTCAGCGACCTCTTAATTGTTAGTGTGCTTAGAACACTTTCTTCCTCCTTATCAGTTTTAGAAAAATTTTACTACAGGCGTGCCACTAAGACACTTGCAGTTCTACATAAATTGTGCTAGCATTGTGCTAGCAGCAGCCTTTTTTCTTTTTATTTTAGAAAAGCCCAAAATGCATTTGATATCACACAGGGGCAAAAAGTAAAGGTTTCAAAAGCGTCCTGTTCACTCTTAAACACCTAAGTTGCTCTTGAAAATTTTCATCTCAGGCCTCAGAAGCTTGCTTTTTAATTTTGAGCTTTGTCAATCTAATAAAACATACTGCTCTGTACAAACTTTGCCTTCATTAGTACGTACTTTGGGATGGGGGTAGGGGAGGAGAAAAGATTTGCACAACAGAGAAATCCCTTCCCCGCTCTCCTCCTTTTAAAACAACTATAACTCAGATGGCTGAAGGGATTTTTGCTTAAGACTTAAAAATTGTCTTTGAGCACAGATCAAACAAAGAAAAGTCCAGCATGGAAGATAATATTTCACATGCTGGTAACCCCAATCTGCTATATTTTCAAAGGTTATAATGAGAAATCTTTTGCAGGAGGGTAAGAGGACAACAGTGCTCCAATGAGTCAGATTAATGAATTATTTTTCCTGCATCATTTTCTAGTTATTTTCCCTCTCACTCCTAGAAAAGTAGGTATGCTAGACTTCATAGAAATTGGGAACAACAAAGGAAGGCTTTTTTTAAGGAAAACAGTGGTATCTTCCAGTTTAAAAAAAAGTGGTAATGGTAGCTATAAAATAAGAAGTAATTTCTAGTGATATCCTCATCATAATGTCAGATTGTTGTATTCTGCTGGTCTGTGTTTTCTATTATGCAGTAACTGTTATCAAATAAAAGTACTTTTAACTTGAGTGGTAACTAAATGCTTATCTGCCTTTTTAAGCTTTTCACATTTTAAGGCCAAAAGGAGTCACTGTGATCAGACTGACTTACTGCAGTATTTCACCCAGTGGGTCTCGGGTCAAGTTCAGTAGCTTATGATTTGCTCACTTGAAAATATGAATAAAACACCTATTATAAGCTACCTCCTCAAATCAAATGTACCCTGACTCTCTAAAATACTGGATCATGAGATAGGAAAAAAATGTAAAACAGGAAAAACATCAGATTACACACACAGGATATGCTGAATATAATCAGTCTAGTAATGCATCTTTGATACCTGAGTAGCAGAACTGATTTAATAATGTAGAAATATCCATTTTTTAATACAAACTTACCACTTAAGCTGCTTGTTATCTAGCCACAGTATTTCGGTGAATGCTACTGTAATGTCTATTCTAGCTCTTGACAGCACGAGATCTCTGAAATGTTAACATTTCTCATTGTTCTCCATATCCTTCCTGCTGTGGAAGAGATGTGGCAGGTAATGGATATCCCTACCACTATGAGAGAAGCATATCTTGGAAGCCTGTTGAGGAGAGTGACAACTGCAGAATAAATAATAGGTCTGAGGAATATCACAACAATTTCCAAAAACAGCAGTTTGGTTTTTTAATTGAAGTGCTTAAGTTTTCATGATTAAAAAGTTTCCAGAATGCGCGCAATTCCATGAAAAGCTATGCAGAAAAATGTTTGAACGTTTATCAGTCATAGTACTTAAACTTACATATATGTGTCTTATTGAATTGATAACCATTTCTGTTATACTTACTATCCAGATGTTGTTAGCATATTATGGCAAAATTAGTCCTTGATAACATGCAATGATTGCAAAATAGTTACTATGATTCTAAGCAAATAAATCTGCCATCATGAGAAGGTGGTATCACTGAGGGGGACAGAGCACTGGAACAGGTTGCCCAAAGAGGCTGTGGAGTCTACTTCCTCGGAGATATTCACAAGCTGTCTGGACACGATTCTGGGCAACATGCTCTAGGTACCCCGCTTTAGCGGAAGGGTTGGGACTAGTTATCTCCACAGGTTCCTTCCAAGCTCAACCGTTCTGTGATCCTGTGATAGTCTACAGAAAAATAACTTCAAATGTAATCTATAGAAGTGTTTGTAGTACAGCTGTGGCTCACCAGTCACAGGTAGGACATTTCTGAACTCCTTTTGATAACAGAAAAAAAAAAAGCATGAAGCAAGAAAGAAATTCTTAATTTTGAACAAGCTCCTAAATGTTAAAAGTATTTAAGCAAATGGTGACACCCAAGACAGACTAAGTTTAAGGTTTTCAGTTCTGCTGGCTCTTATGATAATATGGCCTAATGGCTATCATTTAAATGACAGCCAAGAAATTTGTTTGTTATATTATGTGATTTTTCTTTATTTCAGTCCCTGAACAGTTCTTCATTCACTAATGTATTTGTTAGCAAGCCTTCTGTAGAAGGGATGGGGGAAAAATACAGGAACAGTCTTCATTTCTCCCCAGATTTCTTGCTGCAGTACTTGAAAGTGGTACAGAATTTGAGAAAAGCTGGGACATTGTGCTGTAGAGTATAATGGGATAATAAGTAGCGTTCTGTTAATTTTAGCTTGAATATTTTTATTTGTATTACCTCTCCAGCATTGAGGAAGATTTGTCCTTTAAATAAAGAAAAAGATCAAACTCTAATCATGACATGCTGTCCAAGCTATGGTAGACAGCTATAACACTGTGTACTACTTGTTCTCTAGCCCTGCGTCTCCCTGCACGTAGTGGTGTAAGGTAATCTGTAGCAGAAACATCACAAAATACTAACATCATTCTTTTGTTTCACAGCAAACTGCCAGCTAGAAATAGCCTAATTGGCTGGGCATATGGCAGGGGGTCATGTTCTAACGAACGTGTAGCTCAGAAATCGGAAGAAGAGTGGACGTGTATGCGCTGTACCCTAATAAACAAGCCTTCTGCTAAAATTTGTGATGCCTGCTTGACTTCAAGGCCTGAAGGTATTGAAAGGTTGTTTGGAACTTGGATTGGGGGGAGGGAGAAGGATTGTATTTTTGATGCCATTTTCAGAACTATAAAAACTATAGAACAAAGTGTCTCATAGGTAAACTGTAAATCATTTTTTATGTAGCTTTCACTAACTGTAAAGCCAGATTTTGGGGGAATCTTACGCAACCAATCATGGAAACTCTCTCGTCTTAAACTCAAACCCTAAAAATATCTAGACTTACAGCTTTGTGTGCAGCTAAGGATTCTATGGACAAGCCACTCCTGTGGCCCTTTGTTTTTAACTAGGGCAAGGAGTGAGACAAAATGCCATTTTCTCATTCTTTCAGCTCTCCTTAAAATCATTAAAAGTTTGCAGCGCACCTCTGATAGAGATGAAAATCATCGTGGGAAGGAGGGCAAAAAGTAATTCCTAGTCTTTCATGTGAACAAAAGCACTAGAGAATATATTTTAGTACCCTTTGCAAAAAGAGTGTGTTAGGGTTTCTCAGGGGCTAGGTTTTCTTCCTCCAAGTTCAGAATAGGGGTGGTTCTGGACTCGCTTCCTAAATTTTGTTGTCTCTTACTGAAGCTTTACTCTCTAGACCTCCCAGTGAGCCGAAGCAGCTATGAATGAGACCTAGAAAGTGAAAGGAAGATGGAACCAAATGAGTAACATTGACTTCTGTCCAGATTTCTGTTTAGAAATCTAGGTATTAAGAAGAGATGAGTGAAGTATTGGATGAACTTGCCCCTGAAACCTGTGTCTGTTTTTGTTTTGTTTTTGTATATGAAGAAGAGAGCTTAGTTTCCTCCTCCTGTAGGAAGAGAAAGGAAATCCCTCTGTGGAGGGATTTACAGGAAACTAGGTGGAACAAAACTCATACTCAGACATTTTGAATTGTTGCATGTACTCCCAGAAGCATAAGTCTAAAGGGGTGCATGCATGTGACTTCTTATGACTAAAGCTGATTCTATAACAATTCTGTAGTAATTGAAACTTTTCTACCTTAAAAACTAACCCTCCACTTGTTATGCCTAGAGAATCATTCAATAAAGTGGCGGTAATCTGCGTGCTACAACTTAATCTTTTATTTTTCTAGCCTTAATTCTGCGGAACCAAAAGGGAAGACACTTGTTAGTAGTATACAGGCTCTCTTTGTACTTGAGAAGAATTAATGTGTTTAGACTCCAGGACTGATTGTTTAAAAATTCCCTGGATTTAACCACATGACTCAAAGTACGTTGAAATTAAAATTAAAGATCATAGATTCCCATAGCTCTTGAGTGGACTTTGAGCCATACTTCTCAAAGTGCGAAAATACACCCAGCCTGCTGGAAGAAGCACCTTATGGTACTGATGCCTGTTTCTACAAAATCATTTTAATGCTTCTTAAAAAGTGTTGATTCATTCTAGATACCACCTTGTATGAATGGAATGGTGTGTATCAAACTCCTATCTTATTCCAGTTAAACTCCATTTTCCCAGGCCAGGAATCAGGAAAAGTATGACTTTGTGCATGGCATGAAATTTGTTGCCAGCAGAGGCTAATCTTCTTCCTTTCCTGCAAAATCAGTGCCAGAAACCTGTAAGCTTTAATTTGTCCACAGATTCAGATTCACCAATTAACACCTCTCCTGGATTTAATATTCTGAGCTGGATTTTAAAATATATAGCAATGTCTGCACAGCAAAGATCTCTATTGTAAGCTTTGTATCAAAGTCCTGTTCCATTTCTTCTTCTGTACTACCTCTAAGTTTCACTTCTTTAGCTATTACTGGAAAACTGCTATTGCTACTGCTATTACTGCAAAACAGGCCTGGAATTTGAAAATCTGTTAGATTTGGTGGAATACTGTTATATTAAAAAAAAAAAAAAACTCAAATTTTTTTTCTTTAATAAGACTTTCTTTGCATTGTAAGAGTATTATCTGAGATTTTGTTAATATGGATTTGCTTATTTCTCTCTTTCTCTTATAGGCATTAAGGTTCCCTGTCTCCTCTCCTCTCCTATAGTTTTTATGTATAGAATACTCCTCAAATCTAGTCCCATTCAAATAACAGTAATGTTATTCTGAAATACATGATGTTGACTCCAAAAGTGCATGAGCTTTTGTAATGGAAGAAATTTGGCATAGTATCTATCTAATCTGTGACAGGTTTTGCAGTCTTCCAAGATGTAAATAGAAGTAAATTCACTCTTTCTCTCTCTCTCTCTGTATAAACATGTATAACTGTATGAACAGTTATATATATATAGATCATATTTATGATCTATAGACTCACTCTACACAGATGGATTAAAACCAATGATTTATTTTTCCTTAGTTCCAAAGATAGAGAATGATGAAGATTCTGCAACTTTTAACAGAAGCTTAATGAAGTACCCTTGTAATGATTTTGGAAAGCCAAGTATAGAAATAAAGATCAATAGGAAAGCTGCATTTGGAAATACAACCCTTGTCTTAACAGATCTTGGCAGCAAAGTTGTTCTGAGAAACGATACCCAAGTATCTGATGGACACACTCAGTGTGGTTCGCCAAAGAGCAATTTGGATCACATTCAAAATGTATACCAGTCAGGGGGAAGTATAGAGAAGTACTGCTCAACAAATATAACGGCTATGGCTTCATCCTCCCATCAGCAGCCTCTCTCTTTCAAACCTGTTCAAAAGAAGCAGAAAACTGATCGTATATCCTCTGTTCTCCAGCATAATATAGGAATCAGGTATGTTATTCTACAGTGTAAGTAAGTAAGTCTTTTTATAATCCAACAAACACATTTTATACCTGAAGACTAATGGAATGTTGCAGGGTTCAGACATTGTCTTTGGATTTCTGTCAGAGGTAACTTATTCCTGGGTAACTCAAATTACATTCAGATTTCAAAAGCACTTAATGACCTTCAGTTTTTTTTACCGAAAAAGTCTAGATTTCGGCATCTGGCCCAGTCCTGCTGTTAACTAAACTGCTGTTCATAGTTCAGATTTTTAAATGGAACAGAACAATACAGCTCTAAGCAGTAAACTGACACAGTTCTGCCTAAGGAACTATCTGACCGCTGCTTATATTAGTAATGTAGTTGCTGTATGCTTAGAGAGATCTTGAAATCATTGTGAAAGATGCCAAAATGTAAACTCATGTCCCTCTTAAAAGTACTTATTAGACAGGTGATGTTTTCTTACTGCCTTGATCATTAATTTGTCTTCCACGTTTACAGAGATGTTCTTTAATCCCTTTTTTTTTTTCTGCAAAAGCATGTATGCTTAGTATGTTTTGTTTATTGCAACCTAAAGAGAAGAGAATCAGGTCTGTGGGAACTCTGCTAAAATGCTAGCAGTCCGAAAGTTAGAGGCCCTAAGAATAAATATATTATCTCACTTTAAATGTGTAAATTCTTATTATGAAAATAACTAGATGACTATTCTAATTACAATGACTTGTAAGCTAGCAATTTTCAGTATTCTCCCATGGTATGAACCTCTGTACTGGTAATTATTTGATGAACCTCCCAACCCTATTTTCTCTTAACTTTCCTCCCCATCCTACATGTAACTACTTGACACTCCACCCATCCTGAATTTTTACAGTTACATAGTCCCATTCAGACACATCCATAGTCTAGTTAAGAGAAATTTAGTGAGAACCTATGGGGGTTGTTGGGGAGAAGACTGGTAGAGATGCACAACAGTAATGGGAGTGCAAGGTGGATGTAATTAATGGTGGTAAACTGTGCAGAGTGAATGTGAAAGACATTCATGATATGCTACAAAATTCTTGGTCATGTGTTTCTTCTGAAACGTACAAAATTTTTGCACTGTTGCAAGCACTAGCTGTGAAACCAGATCTGGCTTGCTGGCATACTAGGCTGTATGAATACAGATTCTGCTTACTGTCTTAGTAGAGGGCTACAGAGAACTGAGGATGTAGGCAGGATAATTGAGAGCAGAGGGAAGCAAAGAAAAAATCAGACAATATCAATCATAGTAACAGGTAATTATAGCAAGTCATATATTTAAATATATCTAAGTTTTGGGGGGCTTGGGGATTTTTTTTTGAAGTTGTGTCAGAAAAGGAGGGGTTTTGTGTCTCATTTTAATGAGATGTTGGAAGAAAACGTTGCTGATGTCTACAGGACTGTGATCATCCAGACATAAAACACAACATAAAGTTCCTAAGCTGAAAACTTAACAAGAATGGAATGAACTAATTAATCTTTTCTGTTTTCACTGTAGTTTCATCACTGCTTTTCTGCTCTGTAAATAGATTAGAAAGATATATTTCAAAGAGTATTAATCTTATTTAAAAATGGTGATGTGAAAAAGAAAGCCTTGTGTATTGCATTCAGATAATCTCTGGCTATTTCAATGATAAGGAATGAAGAAAGAAACTTTATCTTCTTCAGAGAACACTCTTCCACTCACTCAGCTAGATTACTTCTCAGAATATGATTTGGAACACTACAGTAATTCTTTATTAAAGAGGATGGAAAACTTTTCTGTGAAGTGCACAAATATCCATGACCTTGAGCAATTACTTGGTATTCTGTTTTTTGGGTTTTTTTTGTTTTGTTTTCTCTCCTGAGAAAATTCTTTAAGTATATGTTGGAATTTGGGAAGGGAGATATAACACAGGTAATATGATTTGTTTTGTTTTGCAGATGAATTTAAGAATATGTTAAAATACTTTAAAACAATGGTTAATGCTAGGGAAAACTGGTATAGTACCTGGAAGATAAGCACAGAGTTAGAGTTGTCTATTCACTCCTAGTAATCATTCATCTTTACCTAAAGCATAATAGGGTGCATTAGAAAAGCAAGCTCTTTGGCTGTCATTGTGTGCAACAGTACATTGAGTATGCTATCCTAACAGCAGGAGAGAGAGTTCTTTGTCTGGTTGTGGTGCTGGTAATCTCTTCAACATTATGCAGAAGTAATCTTTTAACCTGTCATTACAGCAAACCTCAAGTTAATACGACAGATGGTATTTGTACGTTAAACACGAGCCATCCTCACTGCAGTAAACATAACCGCCTCTGCAGCCTCAGAGTTGTGAGAAAGGATGGAGAAAACAAGGGCAGACAGTTTTATACCTGTCCTCTACCCAGAGAATCTCGGTGTGACTACTTTCAAGTATGTATAAGATTTTAGAGACTATTTTCTAATAAAACAAATAAGGTTATATGCTATTTGCTTAATTCAACAGGTCTCCCCACTGCCCACTTACTCCACTATTTGTAATTGTGGAAAAATATGATCCATTTAAAGCTTAAGGGCACTTTTAGATACTTCTGCACGCTAAATTGAAACCGAGAGCATAATGGTAGCTATGAACAAGTAGTATATTAGTTACTTTCCTTACAACTTTGAAGGCATGTCCTTGTGCAAATACTCTTAATCTAGTTCAGCGCAAAGTAACATAGATGCATAGTAGAAATATTGGTTGGAAGGGATTTCTAGAAGCCTTTAGTTCAACTTCCTGCTTGAAGCAGGACTACTACCAACGTGAGATCTAGTCAGCCATGTCTTTGTCTAGCCAAAATTTTGAAAACCAAATTCCATAACTTGTCTAGACAACTGCTGTGCTAATGCCTAGCAAGACCGTTCCAGCTGCAACTTGTGGCCATTGCTCCTTGCTATGTGTGTTTGACTGAGAAGAGTTCACTCAGTCACCTACCATCAGGTAGCTGTAGATGAATTCAGGACAGTAATAACAGTGATGCCTTAATTGGAAAGAATGTGTGTGTTAACATCAATTAAAGTTACAAGGTTAAAATATTTATCACTAGTTAAATTATACGTAGTTACAATTGATGTTACAGAAAAATCTAAAATCGCTAGTCACAAAACACAACAAACTATCCTAACTACCAGGAGAAGTTCCTCTTGCCACTTATCTGCTAAGGCCCCCCCTGTAGATCTATTTCTGTTCCTAATTTTAAAATAAGGAATTCATAGCCATCACATACGCTAAAACTGTCTGTTTTCGCAGTGGGCTGACTTGAATTTTCCATTCTGTAACCACGGGAAGCGCTGTGTTATGAAGACCGTGTTGAAGATTGGTCCCAATAATGGAAAGAACTTTTATGTGTGCCCTTTTGTGAAGGAAAAACAATGTGGCTTTTTTCAATGGGCAGACAAGGGGCCAGGTATGCAGATTCATCCTTGATGTTAAGGTTTTCATCTGTAAAATGAGATTTAGTAGTTATCCTAAGGAACAGATATCTTAGGATTTGACCTTTTCTTTCCTAGTTGTTACTCTGCATTTTTTTCTGTTCACTGGTTCATAATAAAATAGGTCCAACAACTAAGTAAAGAACTGCAGACTGGAAAGAGCAATTGCTATATCTAGCCCTGTGAAAATTAAACGTCGCTTGCATCTTGCATACTATTTTGAAATAAAAACATTTACCTCAATGTATTGTGAGATACTGTTCACTTTTTCTGATTGAAATTTAACACTTTTCTTTCTTATAAATGCCACTGAAGTTTGTCAGCACTGTAAACTTTAAAGTGTATGAATTTATGGAATGGATAACTCAAGTAATAATTTCTATTCAGTTTTATTAAATTCATGTTTTCAGGTATAAACAAAATTAAATTCATATTTTAAATAGATTGTGTCATATTTTATTTCCTCTGAATGCAAAATAAAACAAGAATGGACTGTACACTTCAAATCTTACCATAGTTGAATTTATGTGACCCTGCTGGAGTTGGAAAACAGTGACAAAAAATGCCCTACAATGAACAACATGACTCTATAGTTGTATTATGTGTTTTAAATCCAAGTCCTAACATTTGATTCTGATTGCCATTGATTTCCACAACACCCCCCCCATCCCAATCCCTGTGAAATGCTGTATTTTAAAACCATACCACTGAGGTTTAATCTCAATTTATATTTGCTTGTCTTAATGCTATTTGATAAGGCAAGGGGGAAAGTAAATAGAATATATTAAAATATAAAGCGTGAAGTAAAGGAGAAACAAAACTTAGCACCTACTGTAGACCACAAGGGAACTGAACTGTAATGAAACTGTAGCTTCAGCCATAACTGAATTAGAATTAGTTTTTGAAGAAAACAATTGAAAGCAGCTCGTTTGTGAGAGAAAAGAGGTCTAAAAATTTAATTTATATAATGTTCTGAAGCATATACACACGTATATGCTTCAGAACAAATGCTGTCATTTCTGACAGCTAACTGCTGTGGTGGATGGGAAGGGGTCAGAAGGACTTTAATGTACCTGAATGTGTATTTAATTTTCCTGAGGATGTTGTGGAACTTCAGTCCACCTTAAACCTTCCATGATGTATGTGAAACCAATTTATTCTTGTCCTATCCAACACAAATTCAGACCAGGCTTTTTATTTCCTCCTTTTAATAGCCTTTTACATATTTTGAGTCTTCTAAATCTTTCCTGGTATGAAGGAAATCCTTTCTCATCACATTAGAGAAAACATAATCTTTATATTACTCAATGAACTCTTTCCAAATAATATATTCCATTCATGAAGCTTATTAGTTAAAGGGGGGTACAAGACCCCAGCTGAGAGCAAAATAAACTACTCTGTATGGTATAGCTTATTTTCTCATTGTCATCTCTTTATGTGACACTTATTACAATGTGTTGCAGTGACATATCATGGTAACAAGGCCCATACCTCTAAATCTTTAAAAACGCTATCTAACTAGTTCCTCGCTTGTACATACACAATTGATTAGTGTGACAAAGTCTCTGATCGTTATTCTTAAATTGGACATGCATCATTTCTCTTGCACAGGGATAATTCTTCAGTAGTCCAGCTAAACATGAAAGAAATCAAGAAGAAATATAGCCCTTTTTGATCACTTGCCTGTAACAAACGTTCATCGCTCACTGAAGCTTAAATGGCTTTTACGCTTTGAGCAGACTTTAAACACTTGAAGGATAATAGTTGGATGGTTAAATCTTTTATTTTAACAGCTGGACAAGAAGTAAATAAGTATCTGTTTACATACAGATTTACTAAAAGCAATAATCCTTTAAAAACTTAAATGTGCTGTATGTTGTATTGTTTATGCACTTTTTAACATACCTCACTACTCTGATCAGATTAACTTTCTGTATAAAGTGTATTTACTTTTTGAAGAGGCAAAATTTGAAACCTTTATTGAAATGAGTAAGATGTCCTGCAGAAGCTAAGGACATTGTATGAGTTTCTAGTCTTATATAAAAGGACAGACAATGTTTCACTTCCTAGTGGAAATATATCCACGCTCTTGTTCCAACACTGACTGAAATCATGAATAGGCTTTCAAAATTTCAATAGTCCTTTAGCATGCATTGTTTTAGAAGTATTGCAGAAAAAACACATTGTTATAAATTGCAAAAAGCAATTCAGAAACCAAAAGGAGAAAAAGTGTGTAAAACAAAGTATTTTGGTCCTTGTTATTGGTTCATCTATTTAACAAGAAATTTCTCCCAAAGCTTGAATAATTTAAATATATGAGAAATAACCTACAGTAAAAATTTCATTCTTACAATAGTAAATGTTTCACCTTGAATAAAAGCTTGTGTTTTATTTATTTTTAAAAATTGATTCTGTATCACTTCATTTCTGCTACTTCCAGTTAGCATAACTACAAGTATTAGCATGATATAGCTTATAATCGTCACCTCAAACATGATGTAATAGGTCAGAATAGGTTAGCCAGGTGAAGTAACCAGGGGTGACTGCAGATGAAGAGCTTGAAGAGCTATTGGTCACTATTTTACCAGTGAGATTTCACGTTAGAAATTTTGTAAACTCTCCGTTTGTGCCTAAAGTCACAATAAAACATGTTAACAATTCTAGGTATCTACTCCTCTCTAAAGATATTTCAGAACTGTTGCATCACTGAAGATAGCAATGTTTTGGCCAAACAGATGTCTAAAAGGAAACAAACACTTAGATCAAATAAATCCAGGCAAGAGATGTAATCTAGCAGACAAAATGTATGAGAGGGATTCTGAAACGTACAAAATCAAATTTTAAGACGTTTAAGCAGGAAATAAGGCAAGAGCCAGAGAGAAAGATATGGCCGTTAGAGAAACACAAAATGAAAGCTATGTTTATTGAGTGAACAGAAGGGTAGGAGAAGCAGACCTATGAAAAGTTCTCAAGGTACTGCTTGCATAGCTATCCTTTTTTGTTTATGGAATAAACAAAATTAAATTTAGAAATTAAGTAATCTCCTAGCACTCAAATTAAATGATTTTGGGTCTGTTACCTTTTCCCTCCACTTCGTGAAGAATATTCCTCATGAAGGTAGGGAATGCTGATATCAAGGAGAATTTACTACTAAGTTTTAAAATGCTACAGCTGTCACATACTATACCTTCCTTACCTTTGGTAAGGAAGATTACAAATCATTTAATTGCAATCTCGTATGTCTCACTTATAAATACCACCCCTTTAAGCTATAAGCTTTGAAAGTTTTTAGACTGTGTTCACTCGGGCTTGTGTTTTGTAGGGTTGGTATAGCCTAAATTTGCTTATGAAATATAATATCCTGGTTGTATAATATGACAAGCTGTGGAAAGGTAGAAACAATAACAAAGGGCAAGGATACCCAAGTACACTACAGTAAACTAGCATGTGGAGGAAAGGGGGAAGTGTGCACTTCAGTGAAAACAGAGACAAGGTAAGAGACTGAATTCTAACTCAGCATCTGCCTCCACATAATTTACCACTTTTACAAGTGCACCAGCCTCTTGGGTAGGAGTACGTTACATAAGTTGTTTAACAAGTTGTGGCTCATAGCTGGTTATAAAAGATTTTATTAACAAAGCCGTCAAGAAAACATCTTAGAGTGGATTCCACTCTCAATCTTTCAAAAAGAATGTGCAAGCACAGTTTCAGAATAGTAGACAGATCTTAAAAGGATCTCTTGTGTTTACTCGAGATAAAACTCATTTTCTCTTTTATGCAGCCAGTTTACTGTGTTTTCTTTTTACATTGATTCATCTATTATAAATGAGCACAAATATATAAATATATATATAAATA